TTCTCTCTCTCTCTCTCTCTCTCTCTCTCTCTCTCTCTCTCTCTCTCTCTCTCTCTCTCTCTCTCTCTCTCTATATATATATATAGACACACACACATATATATACACGCTAATTCTAAATCAATTAGTGGGTGATGATTTGCACAAACAGAAAAACTTACTTAATAAACCTGTTGTATGCGGAGGGAACCCGTTGTCTCTTCTCTGGAGCTGAGAAAACATATTCAAAAACTGTCAGATAAAACTAAGAGCACTCTTATACTAGCAGTCCATCTAAAAGAACAAGTTTATGATAATCAACCAGATGCTTCTATTTTATACAAATAGAAGGTCATAATTTAAAACCTTAGTACAAATTATCACTACTTAAATAGGAGTAGAGACAGTTAATTTCTTTTAATAAATCGCGAGAGAAGATAGCTGGTATCCGAGACTACTCGTTCCTCATAAGTTGGTACCTAAGAGCAATCTCATCCTACACCAAATCTCACTCGATGAAATTTAATATTGAAAAAAATTTTAATAAGGAAAATCCAATTCAGCTCGAGAGGAGCAATGGGCAAAAATCAAGTAAAACTAGACCAAATCCAATTCAATATCAATACTCCACATGCACTTTGTGTATTTGTTTACGTACTATAGTACTCATGTGTGCATGTGTCTAAATATATATAGTACATTATATATATATATATATATATATGTGTGTGTGTGTCTGTGTGTGTGTCTATAGATATATTCTCTCTCATCATTCATTTAAAAAAAAATTGTGTATGTTGTAGGTTACATATGTATATGAGGTATGCTTCTACTTTCGTAGGCATTTCGCATAGGTTATCTTTGCAGTCGTTTTTCATTGTGATGAGTAAGGTCTCACCACAGGTCACACCTGATTTATCATGGGTTATATATAGCCTTTTAGAACTGAATATGTGCACAACTCTTATAATATATAGCTGTTCAACGTAGGGCACAGAGCCTATAAATTAACTATTCACACGGTTTTATTTTTTTATTTTTTTATTTTTTTCAAGCAATGTCAACATCTCCAATGGGCGATCTGAAGTCATCAGAGAAAATCAGATGCATGCCTGGTTGGTCATTACGTCTGAGATATTAGAGAACTAGTTTATTTTGTTTGTTTCTTTGTTTTTTCATTTTAACATTGAAAGAGAGTAAACTTTTTTGCAGATACAACAATGACATGTCGAGTTGCACATAAATAAACTCAGAATAATAATAATAATAAATTTTAACATATGTGTGACAAGTAGTTATACCTAGTAATAAGCTGATTTTTAAATTACTTGCCAGTAAAGTTTGTTCCCTCATAAACACCTACAAAATTCTTTTGGTCATGAAATTGAGGACTTGGGGGTTTTGCAAAATGACTTCAAGAGAAAACACTTATTTGTAAAATGATTTTTCAAAAAAAAGAAAAAAAAAAATTCATTTGTAAAACGATTTAGGAGTTTAGACTGGGCAACAAAGTGGGGTACTGTTCTGTGAAAATGAAAGAATTTTATTTTGCTAATTATATTTTCTAAGGCTGTCATTTTTAATAAACTTCTTGCTTTTTAAGAAGTAAAAGGAAGGAAGGTTTGGAATGGTTAACATATCCCATAATTACTAAAGAGAAATTTTATCAAACCATGGGAATGTGTGCCTTTGGTTTTTTTTTTGTTGAAGGTCTTAAATGTGTACTTCAAACAGTGTTAAATTTTTCAAATTAAAAGTTATTAAAGTGAATGGGGTTGTATATAGAGAAAGCAATGCGATGAGTACTAAGCACTTATAGAAAGTGAGTCCTACAACAGAGGATTCAAAGATAGTCGGCTGATTTTTTATTAGTTGTGACCCTCAATACCAGCGGTGCTTAAATGCATAAAGTTTATAAGGAGAAAATACTCACGGCGAATCGGAGATGACCTTGCTGGTTGTTCATGGTCGACAGATTCCAATAAATTTGCATGCTTGTTACACTTGGAAGATGATCCATACTCCTTAACCGGATTTTCTGAGCTCGAAATCTGTTTCTGCAACTTTTAGTAAAGCAGGAAAAATAAGATATACAGAATCAATGATTTAGGCACATTAAGAATTACTTTGCAGCCCCATTTTACCACTTAAGATAAAAGCATTAAGAATGAGGCTCTCGCGGTATAGACTTAATTTCTTCTTTAAAAAAAAAAGAGAAAAAGGAAAAAAAATCTAAAGCTCATAACAAATTGATCGTTAAGACAAAACACAAGAGATAGAGAAAGAGAGATAAAACATGATGAAATTTAGGAAGCATTATATTGCTTTTAAGCCAAAAGTAATGAGAAAGAAAAAGAGTTATAACGAAAAAAGAAAGAAAGAAAAAGACAAGAAACCTAATTAGGCTCTATAAAATAGCAGTGAAACACACAATAAACATCGTATCTCTTGCCAATAATAAGATGGGAATCTGAGTCAGTAAACAAAACCTGCACACATTTTATATTATCATGTATCATTTTTATTAGACGTTCTAGAGTTTAATTCTATAATATATATATATATATATATATATCTGAGTTACCCAAGAGAATGTCCCAAAAAAGAAAAGGACATAATAATAAGCATATTGTTAAAAAATAAAAAAAAATTATACCTGGGGATCTTGAGGAGGAACCGTTTGAAGTGAAGCAGCTTCCATATTGACGGACAGCAGATTTCCACAATGCCCACATCTCACTGTGACAATTGTAAATAAGCTGCTGCATGGAACACTAACCTGCCAATGCATTTAGGAAAAGAAAACAACCAAAAAAAAAAAAACAAGATACATTTATTATTGTTATTTCCAATGATATTTCTCACCGCAAAAAAACAAAAAAAAAACAAAAACAAAGGGAAATTCTCCAATTCTTAGAAGGAGAAAATTTTCAGTTCTTCTGTATGCATGCTCATACAGATTGGAAAGCTGGATCCAAGAATGGTTTCGAGAAATTTCTGCGAACTCATATGAAAACCTAAACAAAATTCTGACATGAATAATATTAAGAAACAAAAACCTAGCTACAATCAAAACAAGACATAACCAGTCAAAGTATTGTCCCCAAAAAAACTAGGTACATTTTGTCATTATACATAATACATTAAAACATAGACATAATACATTCATATATATACCTAGGAAATTTTCTTGATAGGAAGGAACACAAACCAAAATGTAGTGTTGTATACCACTGGTTTAGGAAGGAAGGGAAGAAGTAGAAGTAGAGGAAAATGAAGATGAGAAGAAGAATTCAAATGTATAAAGCTGTATATAGCCATGTGAGTTATATATATATCTCTTTTCATTCTTTTGGGACCTCTTCTTCTTCTTCTTCTGCCGAGCCATGAAAATGAGCAAATATTGACCCCATGTAAAGAAAGAAGCCATGACATCAGAACTCACAGAACTCACATGGGCAATAACTATGAGGCGTCGTTGCCCTTAATTTAAAGGCCTATTTCTCTCTCTCTCTCTCTCTCTCTCTCTAAAAATATACACATACTTTAATTTTTTTAAAAATAAAAATACATATATATTTCCTTTTGGTGCACTTGCTGGCTATTGTGACTGACACCCAGCAAGGGGAAGAGTCAAGAGAGATGATAAAAGATAGAAAACGTTGCAGCTGAGAGAGAGAGAGAGGGAGAGAAAGCGACGTGACTGGAACGGAAACCATTAAAGGCCATGGCCAGTATTAACAACAGCTAAGCTAAGCTATAATTCAAAACAAAAAAAAACAAAAAAAACAAAAAAAGATGCATGATTCTTCATCATGAACAACAAGACTTATTCTTCATCATGTACTGTTCTTTTCTTTCTTTTTTGCAGTGTTTTTGAGATCATATATACACAACACAAAAAATAAAAAAGTAATATGATGGAAATTGTATTATTCCTAAAGGGGGTTTTTATTTTTCAAATCCGAGCTGACACATCTTATGATGAAAGGACTCGGTCATGATTTTGGTAGCTACTTCTCTCTCTACCCACAATTTCTTGTTAGAGAATGGGAAAGACAACTTTTTTGTACCGAAATTATGTACAAACCTGAAATGTGCAAGAAAGTTCATCATATTTATGATCAAGAGTGGCATCATATGTGAGAAACAGAAGCCCCCACGTCACTCAGAGAAAGAAACAAAGAGAGAAAGAAAGGGAAGAGAGAGATCAAACAAAGAAGGGAATAAGCACTATATATATATATGGTCATATGATCATATTATTATATAGATTAAAACTACACTATAGTGTAGAATATATATTTTTTTATAGCTCTTTTGTGAAGCTTGAGCAAAAATATTTCCATCAATTCTTGTATCACGACCTGAAAAGAACCCTAGATAACAAAATATGACCTAAATTAGTTGAAGCTCTAGTTATTTCATGAATACGTAGCACCTTTTGATCTTTGTGTAGTCTTTAGCCGGCAGAAATCTGTAGTCACTGTAGAGATACGGTAGTTCTACCTAACATCGTTTTGGGGGTCTGGTTTTTTAGCAAATTTCACTGCATTTTCTTTTCACAGTCTATGAATAACGTACATGGAATTTTCCTTTTGCTTTTCGAAAACCCCAGTTCCGATTCTTCATAAAATATCACAAAAAAAAAGGAGGATAAAATTGTTGTGAATTCAACTAAATCCACTCAAAATGAAGAGGGTATTTTCGATATCGGGTTATAATTGCTCCAAACAAAACCAAATCGATCTTGCTTCCATGTACCGAATAATTAATTGATGATCCAAGTAGTAAAAATAATATATAGAGAAGCCCAAGGGGGTCAAATTAAGTAGCTGGAATTGAAAGAAAGAAAAACCTTAGAAAAACATAATGATAATGAAAGTAATATGAAAAAGAGAGAAAGAAGAAGAAGAAGAATTATAAGGGGCGAATAAGATGAAATATATAATTTTTTTAAGGGGGTTAATTTGTACCGCTAAGATGGTGTTGCAGAAGTTGCAGTGAACATAACAAACACGTTCGGAGGCCATCATGTCCAGTGACATATTTCTTTTTTGGTGCTTAAAATTTTGTGGGATATATTGCCGGATCAGGGTGAATTATTTAAAGTTGGAACAACAAAGAGAGAAAGGGAGATTGTGATGGATAAATCAATCAATATATATAAAAAAAAAAATAAGGAAATGAAGAAAGCTATAAGAATACAAAGACAAAAGAAGAGGAAAATAATATTCCTTTTCCTTTGTAATTTAGAGAGAGAGAGAGAGAGAGAGAAACAGAGAGGTGTACAATAAAACTTAAAAAAGAAAAAAGAAAACCTCAATAAGAGGAGGGTGAGGATGGGACTGGTCTGGTCGGAGTGAAGTGGGGAGTGGATGTAGTGGTTTTTTGTGATATGTCAAGAAAGAAAGAAAAGATGGTTTATGGTAAAGGTGGATTGTGGATTTATGAGAGAGAGAGAGAGAGAGAGGGAGAGAGAGAGAGAGAGAGAGAGTGGGGGTGTTATGATTGAGAGAATCAGTGGGTGGGAGTGACCCATCTCTCTTAACCATCTTGGCTTTCTGTAGCGGACGAGGGGGGCGAGATATTAATGCTTGGAATGTTTAGGGATGAGAGAGAAAGAGAGAGAGGAGGTTAATATTTTGGGGGATGAGAGAGAGAGAGAGAGAGAGAAGTTTATGGGGATGAGAGACATACTTAGAATTCTGTCATGTAATTGTGTGTGTGTGTCTGTCAAAAGGATCAAAGAGAGAAGATGCTTTCGCTAATGCCAATTGCTATTTTCTTTTTTTCCTTTTTTTTTTTTTTTTTTAACACTCATTTGTTTCTTTTTTTTTTTTTTCTCCTTCCACCCCCTATACCCTACATCTCAATTATGCATCCCTCTTTTAATTTATATTCCAATTTTTTATTTTTTTATATTTATTTGTAGGCAAACACATTATGGCATCTAATATGACAATTCCAATAATAACATTTTTTTTTGAATGAAATGTCTAACATTATTTAATATAATGTAATGTACTAAAATTTAACATTAACGTTAACATAAGTTCGTGTGATAAAGAATACCTGATGGTGCGCACTTGTAAATGTTAAACTATTCGGAAATGTTTTGATATATTTAAATGGAGGCCTTTAAAATATATATATATATATATGTATATATATATATATGTGTATATATATATATATATATATATATATATATAGTTAACGAGAGTGAGGGAGCTTATGGATAATTTCCTAGAGTTTTAGTTGATGTCTTCTTGGCTAGTTTTGGTTGAGCATAAAGATTTTTCATTCTTCCTTCTTTAAAATGTGACAGCTTTCATTATTTTGTAACGGCTGCAAATCAATTGGTCATGCAAAAATTAGGGATGTTCATCCACTCTAATATGTACTTTTTAGCTTAAATCAATTTGATCCACACACATTAGGATTTTGATATATTTGCATCCAATCCAATCCGCGTAAGCGCGGATTGAATTGATTATTTCAATCGCTTAGTTAGGTTTGAAAAATAAAAATTTATGCTCGATGTTTCTTAAAAAAAAAAGAAAAAAGCATCAAAGTCACACATAAAAAAACTCATAAAATGACAAGTTATAAACTAGTTCCATAATGATCCCAATCATTTCGATTAGCTAAAATGTCAATTAGATACATAGTTCAACAATCAACATAAATCAAACACATAGTTCAACAGAAATCCATATAAACTAGCTTCTCTAGCTAGGCAGCAACTAAAAATCAACAATAAATAAACTAATTAAGTAGACATTTGGCAAATATTAATTTTTTTTAAATACATATTATATGCAATCCGCACAAGTGCGGATCTAAAAAAATGACATCCAACATAATCCGTACTTGATCGGTTTCCGCACTTTAGATTGGATCGTTTCAAATTATTTGCACATTATTTTGTAACTTTGGTATATTATTAGAATCTCACATTTATTGGAGATATTAGCATGATTCACTTAATAAGGTGAGAGTAATCCTCCCCTAACAAGCCAGTTTTATTAGGTTGAGTTATGCCCAATATCATTTGATTTCTGTAAAATGGTATCAGAGTAGACCTAATTTTGCAATGTTGGGTCCCCCAATATCGATTTATTCGCAGCGGTTTGGCATGGTCCATGCTGTGCGTGAGGGGGCGTATTAGAATCCCACATTGGCTGGAGATATTGACATGATCTACTTAATAAGGTGAAGGCAATCCTCCCCTAACAAGCCGGTTTTGTTAGGTTGAGTTAGGCCCAATATCTTTTAATTTTTGTAAAATATATATCAATTAGTGATGTCATATGTAATTGCATATCTTATCATAAAGATTCAAATGATCAACGAAAAAAATGTAAAAAAAATACAAATTTAGAAAGATCATCAGCCTTCTAATGAAGCCAAACACACTCGAGTTTATCGTCCAGAAGCAACTATAGGGGTTACCGGATAGTTTTCCGATCCTTTTGCTATTTCACAACAAAAAATTCTTCATGCTGCCAATGAGAATGGCATTGGAGAAGTGAACAATATTATTGAATTCTCATTGTTAATTTAGTTGATACTCAAGACCAGTTAGAACATACTCTGGCCAGGTGGTAAGAATATTAAGGGTTATTTGGTACATGTATTCAAATCTAAATTATAATTATACTACAGTATTTTTCTTCTCATAAAGAATTTGAATCAAAAAAATTCCGGCTAATAGTTATCTCACAAAGAATTTAAATCAAAACCCAAATCATAGTTCAAATACATTCCCAAACATGCCTTTAATTCTCCATTGCCCAGTTTATATAAGTTTGTGTTTATAATTTTTATATTTAAATGATACGGGATTCATGTCTTTACATACCTCAAGATGGTGCTCTCTTTAGAGTCACCAATCTTTCATTAGATGGATCAAGCCGCTCATTTGACCTTATTGAGATATGGATTATAATAGAAGTTGGACTTTTTATGGACTTCAACTTTCATCTTAAAGGTCAAACCACGTTAAGTGAGGAGACACAATATTCTTATAAATTTATATTTATCTTTAAATTATGCAAAATTCGAGATTATTTTACCCTTTATAAAATTCACAGGATCGAATAATGTAAACGTGTCACTAGATGATACAAGAATGAATCTGTCATGCAACTTGAAGGAGAAAGTGGTGGCATAAAAGAGATGTAAATCCGATAATGTTCCTTGTGCAGATTTAGCATAACAAAGGAAGTGCCAAATTTATCAATAATCAAATTGTTGCTCAATAGTCATTTATGGCTCTTGGGATAAGTTGAATGATCTTGATAACTTTGCAAAAACTAGGAATAATGATTCAGAAAGAAAAACAAGGCTTATGCTCTTCGAACTTGAAGTGTAAGGTTAGGAGATTAGCATTGTAGTAAGATAAAGAACTTAAGTTGTGTATGCGAGAGAAAAACACTATAATAAAAGAGTTGAATTTAAGTTTTTATGAGAGAAAATATTATAGCAATCGACCTTAATTTGTTTATGTAGCGCCTATGAGCTTTTATTATTATTATTTTGCCTTTCTCTTAAACTTTTGTAATTTTTTTTATATAATAAATTGTGTGGAGTTCGTGGGATATTTTTTAGTGTGTGGCAACTTTAAAGAAGTTTATTAAAATTATTCTCTCCTTTTTTATTAACAAAAAAGTAAAAAAAAAAAAAAATCAATACACCACGACATTTTCGGTATTATTCCAACACAAATGTCGGTATTATTCCAACACAAAATTACCTAACATTAGAGATTAATTATATGAATTTACTAGAGAATTTACACATGCAACGTATTTGTTGTAATATTATCTTGACGTGTTTACTCTAGTTTTAGCTCTCAAATAAAAGCGTGCTAAGATAAATATAAAGAGGCAAACAGGAAAAAAGAAAAAAGGTTAATCAACAATTAATGAACTAACTTGAGGAATATTACAAGTGGCATTCATGTTTGGATTTCTGGTACTCCGAATGGAGTTTGGATTTATACCACACAACAAAATCGGTCGTACGTCAACAAAAAAACAAAAAGGACGAGGTTTATAATTGAGAAAACTGTGGAACTTATCTCTACATTTCAATCCCTTATTCTTAATTAATACCTTTTTGAATAATATAATATTTAATTAAAAAGAATATTAATTAAATATAAAAGTTAATACCTTTTTGAATAATATAGTATTTAATTAAAAAGAATATTAATTAAAAATAAAAGATAAAAATTCAGACTGATATACTTTAAGATGATATTTATCTCATTTTCTCTTTATAATTAGTTAATAAATAGACCTAATAAGTATACATCCAGCTCCACAAGTCAAATAGATAATCTATTAGATTATTATAGGTAGTCTAACAGCTGTGTTGGAACCAATTATCACCGGTCGAGGAAGAGTAATCTGTTAGATTATCGATGATAAACCAGAGAGTAATCTACCAGATTACGCTAGCGTCAGTCACCAAAGAGTAATCTAATAGATTATTATTGATAATCTACAAACTATTTATTGTATTAACAAATATCTCGATCTTCTCCCTTATTGACAACCAGAGCGTACTACAACAATACTCTTAAGATGTCTTGAATTTTCACCTCTTACTCTTGATTAATACTCTTTAATCAAAGATCTATATTAGTCAAAAGGATATTAATAATGAGTAAAGGATAAAAATCTCAGAATAATACATTTAAAAAGTAAATTCACCGATTTTCTCTAAACGAATCAATGTGGCATACAAGTTGTAACATAAATCCAATATGAGTTTGCGGCATACAACCTAAATTTATCTATAATGATTGGAGATGGGCTAGAACCCAATGGATTGGCTTTTTCTTTATGCTAAATGGTCCATGAAGAGAGGCTAGAACCCAATGGATTGGCTATTTCTTTAGAGAAAATTACATAATTTATTTTTAAAAGTGTATGAATCTAGACTTTTATATCTTATTCTTAATAAATATATTTTTATTAATATAATTATTTAATGAAAAATGTTATGAATCAATAATAAAAAATAAAAATTCTAACCAACTTTTTTAAGGAATATTTATTAAGATTACCACCTCTTTATGCTAAATAATCCATGAAGAGAGGCCCATTGGATCATTTGATCACCATTTATCGTAGGAAGAAAGAGAGAAATATGACAAGACTTAAGATAAATTAAAATTAATATACCAATAGTTTACATAAGTTAATAAATAGACTAAATTATTATTTTCGTCCATAACTTGTCTGGTTATGAACCATAACTTGACAAATTATGGATAAAAACCGTGATTTATAGACAATAACTTGTCCATAACAGTATGTCCATAATTTGTGTGGCTATGAACCATAACTTGACAAATTTATCCATAATTTATTTAATTATGAATCATAACTTAACAAATTATAGTCTATTAATTTTTATAACTAAAAATTAACCTATATACTTTTTTAAACTTTTTATATTAGCCTATTTTCTTTCCCTTCGTCCTAGGCAAGCATCAAATTTTAGATCATACTTCTTTCAAGTTTACAACTTCCTTAGAAAATCGTGCATAAACAGTATTCTTTTAATGTTGTTGGCATTAACCATTTCAAGATAGTTGAATCCTGCCTTTATACTGCATCAGAAT